GCTTCAAAAATATAAATACATATAACATCACACTCATTTTGAAAATGCACATGGAAGTAACGGAAGCACCTGTTCTGAATAAAAAAATCTCTCCAAAAGACCTTCAAATCAAAGTCACAGAACAAATACAAAGTCCCATTGGAAATCCATGAAATAGTATCTTTGTATTTATTTAAGGTACAACTTTCGCTTCTAGGGTCACTTGAAAATCTTCAGTTGATTTTTACTATGCAATCGATCGATGACTGCTGGTTTACCCTAATCATAATAATCTCATTATTACTCGTGCTCCCGTCAGTAGCATCCACCTATTGACAATTTGTCATATACTTCAAGCCTAATCTCTCTGGAGCACAGAACTCTTTTTGATACAATGCCAAAGACAATGGGGCCGCACTCCCTGAATGGGGCTTCATTATTTGCATTGTGATGGCACCTAACATTGTCACAATGGCTTTAAGTGGTCAATTAGATTCTGAAAAGCGACACTGGATTTTTTGGGCTACTGGTACCTGGGATTCCTGTTCCTCTAACTGAAGCCAACACAGACTGGTTGATGGATTCTAATGGTGCCTTCTGGAATTTCCACTGGACATTAGATTCTAATGATCTGATGTCACATGTGACATCACAAGTTACATGTAGGAAAACCTGAGGTATGAATGACATTCAGCACATTCATCAACCCCTGGGACAGGAGTTCTGGAAGAGTTTCAATATCATTGTTCATATTGAATTCCCAAAGTCAGAAGTTAGACACAATTGCCCACACTGACTCATTAAAATATTACAAGCACAGCAAATGGAGGTTCAGGATTTTTCCTCCAAACTCAGTTAGCCTTGTGGTTTTTGGATTGCATCTTAAAAAGGAAAACAAAAGTATGAGAAATGGGCCTTATTGCTTCTGGTACAATAAAGGAAATGCAGAGGGAGTTATGTAGGGTCACATCTATCTCCCTCTCCCCCACCACAGATTGGCCTGTTGAGGGTGGGGAGTGAGAGAGGCTGGTTCAGGATTTTTCCTCCAAACTCAGTTAGCCTTGTGGTTTTTGGATTGCATCTTAAAAAGGAAAACAAAAGTATGAGAAATGGGCCTTATTGCTTCTGGTACAATAAAGGAAATGCAGAGGGAGTTATGTAGGGTCACATCTATCTCCCTCTCCCCCACCACAGATTGGCCTGTTGAGGGTGGGGAGTGAGAGAGGCTC